CCTTAAGGGCTGATTCTGAGGCCAGAGTGCTGTTTAAGACATCTGCCATTCTATGAGTCTGCTGTGTATCTCGCTTCCCATGTTGGATCATTCTCTCCCTTTTTGATTCTATCAGCTAGTATTTGCAGACACTAGTCTTGTTTATGTGCTCCCTTTGGCTCTTAGTCCTATCATTATGATCAATTGTGAACAGAAATTGATCACTTGGACTAGTGAGATGGCATTGGTACATGCCTCCTTGATGGGATTGAATTGGAATCCCCTGGTATGTTTCTAACTCTGCCGTTTGGGGTTAGTCAGCTTGAGCATGTCCCGAATTGCACATCTCTTCCCTCTTTTATTCCCACTCTTATATTTGACAGCGATCACTTTTCAGTTAAGTTTCAACACTTAAGAATAACTTTGTATTGATTACAGTATTCAACCAAAAGTTTTAAGTAGAACAAACAAACAAAAAATACTAAGAGGGATAACGTATTAAGTTGTTCATCAACAGTCAGGGCAAGGGCTGATCAAATCACCGTTTCTCATAGTGTTCATTTCACTTTAACAGGTTTCCTTTTTGGTAGGAGCCAGGAGCTTTATCTGGGTCTCCCATGTGGGTATCAGGGGCCCAACCACTTGGGCTTTCTGCTGCTACTCTTCCCAGGCCATTAGCAGGGAGCTGCATCAGAAATGAAGCAGCCAGAACACTAACCAGCACTATATCGGATTCCAGCATCACTGGTGGTAGCTTTACCCACTATATCACAGCAGCAGCCCCAGAGCCTAGCTTTTACTGTTTATTCTTTTAGAATATACTTACTGATCCCTGTTCTAGTAGATTGCTTATCTGTCATTTCTAGGGTCACCTGTATTCATTTTGCCACCACCTATGGTCTCTGCGAGCCAGAACATTCTGAATACTAGTATGTTCTATCTGCCTTTGACAGTTGATGTTGCCTTCTTATGTTTCATCATTAAATGCAACCCTTCATACCTGTATCTGGATGCTTATCATCCTTATTGATCAGGGAACTTGTCTCGATGGCTTCCCCTACAGTCAAAACTGCTGTGTGTAGAATAACCACAGAACTTTACTCTCCTCACTTAACTCTCTTGATTGCTTTTTGAAGAGAGTGGCTCTTGGGCCTCTCCATAGGTTGGGAAAAAGAGGCTGTATAGAAGACATGTGATGATTCCAGTATGATATTCTAATGTCTCTAGATTCCCTCATTCACATTAGCCAGGAAAGCTCAGGTGTATCAACCCCATTAACTGTAGGTATCTACTGAGTCCAGTTTTCTTTCAGTCATCCAACTAATTTAGCTGTCAGCCCAGGTCCATTAGTTTATGAAATACATAATGGTTAAGAAAATTCCCCTCTATCGATGAATTTGGCTCTATCTAGTGCTGTATGTTATATTCTGCCATCCTTGGTCTACCTTGGAATCCCTTGTCTTACATGTTGTCTGAGTTTCTTCTGATACATGACATGTAAAAATTATTTTGTAATGTGAGCTTTTTCTTTTGTGTTCTGTTATATCCGTACGACAGATTTCTGTCTCAGACGTCTTTTTTTAAAGAGGGACATTTCTTTCTTTCTTTTTTCCTTCCTTCCTTCCTTCCTTTTTTTTTTTTTTAAAGAGTTTATTTATTTGAGAGGCAGAATTACAGACAGGGAGAGACAAAAAGGTCTTCCATCTGCTGGTTCACTCCCGAAATGGCTGTAACTGCTGGGGCTGGGCCGATTCAGAGCCAGGGACGACGACTTGGTGTGGGGGCCCAAGCACTTCAGCCATCATCCCCTACTTTTCCAGGCCATAAGCAGAGAGCTGGATTGGAAGTGGAGCAGCCAGGACACCAACCAGCACCTGTATGGGATGCTGGCACTACAGGTGGAGGCTTAACATACTACACCACAGCACTGGCCCCTCCAAATATACTTTTTAAATGAGCCAGGCATCAATTTCCAGAGTCTTTTATATTTTGGAGAGTGCTAGCTACCACAGGCGATCAGAACTTAGGGACAGAATTATTTGAATTCAAGTAGCAGGTTTTTTTTTTTTTTTTTTTTTTTGTCCATGTTTTCTTTAAAAGAATATTTTAAAAAAAGATTTATTTATTTGAAAGTCAGAGTTAAACAGAGAGAGAAGGAGAGGCAGAGATAGAAAGAGGTCTTCCCGGAAATTTATATTTACTAAATAAAAAAAAAAAAAAAAAAAAAAAAGAGGTTTTCCATCCACTGGTTCATTCCCCAGATTGGCCGCAATGGCTGGAGCTGCACCGATCCTAAGCCAAGAGCCAGGAGCCAGGAGCTTCCTCCGGGTCTCCCACATGGGTGAAGGGGCCCAAGGACTTGAGCCATCTTCTACTGCTTTCCCAGGCCATACAGAGAGTTGGATAGGAAGTAGAGCAGCTGAGACTCGAACCAGTGCCCATATGGTATGCCAACACTGCAGATGGTGGTTTTACCCTCTACGCCACAGCGCCAGCCCCTAATTTTTTTTTTAACTTGTGTAATGGGAACAGATTTCATCTATTTCATATATACAGTTTTAAGAGCATGATACTTCCCACTGCACCCTCCCTTGCTCCCACCTTCCCTCCTCCCTTTCTGATTTTTCTTTTAATTTTTTTTTTTTCCTACGGGATTTCAAAGACAAAAGATTTCAAAGACAGTTTATTTTCAGTATGATCAGTCATGAAATTTACTCTCAAAAACATTTTTCTTTTAATTTTTATAATGGCATACTTTTTTATTTAATAAATATAAATTTACAGAGTACAACTTTTGAATTATAGTGGCTTTTTCCCCCATAACTTCCCTCCTGCCCGTGACCGTCACATCCCCCACTCCCTTTCCCATCCCATTCTTCATCAGGATTCATTTTCAATTATCTTTATGTACAGAAGATCAACTTAGAATACCCTAAGTAAAGACTTCAACAGACTGCACCCACACAGACACACAAAGTATAGAGTACTGTTCGAGTAGTAGTTTTACCATTAATTCTCATAGTACAACACATTAAGGACAGAGATCCTACATGGGGAGCAGGTGCACAGTGACTCCCGTTGTTGATTTAACAATTGACACTCTTATTTATAACGTTAGTAATCACCCGAGGCTCTTGTCATGAGCTACCAAGGCTATGGAAGCCTCTTGAGTTCACCAACTCTGACCTTATTTAGACAAGGCCATATCAAAGTGGAAGTTTCTTCCTCCCTTCAGAGAAAGGTACTGCCTTCTCCGATGGCCCGTTCTTTCTGCTGGGATCTCACTCACAGAGATCTTTCATTTAGGTGTGTGTGTGTTTGTTTGTTTGTTTGTTTGCCACAGTGTCTTGGCTTTTCGTGCCTGTGAAACTCTCATGGGCTTTTTAGCCAGATCCAAATGCCTTAAGGGCTGATTCTGAGGCCAGAGTGCTTTTTAGGACATCTGATAATGGCATACTTGGAATTTCATTTATAATCATGAGCTTAATCCTCTGCTAAATAAAGAATTCAACAAATAGTAAATAGGAAAACTGCTGTTCCTCAAGAGTATAGACATGTTATAAATAATAATCAAACCTCAAAATGTAAATTTTGCTCATGTGCATTTTTTTCCCTGTACTTTGCACATTAGTTACCACAAATCAGGGAAATATATATTTGTCTTTTGAGACTGGCTTATTTCACTAAGCATAATGGTCTCTAGTTATATTCATTTCATTGTGAAAGACAAGATTGCATTTTTTTTTACAGCTGAGTAGTATTCCATCTTGATATATACCGCAATATCTTTATCAGTTCATCAGTTAATGAACATCTGGGTTGATTCCATATCTTAGCTATTGTGAGTTGAGCTACTATAAACATGGGGTTATAGCAAAATTTTTTAAATACTTATTTAAATTTCCTTTGGGTAAATTCCCAAGAGTGGAGTGGCTGGGTCATGTGGAGATCTATTTTCAGATTTCTGAGGTATCTCCATACTGTCTTCCATAATGGTTATGCTAGTTTACATTCCCACCAATGGTATTAGGGTACCTTCCCTCCCATATTTATTATTTTTGATTTTGGGATGATAGCCATTCTAACTGGGATGAGGTGAAACCTTGTTGTGGTTTTTATTTGCATTTCCCTGATGGCTAGTGATCCTGAGCAACTTTTCATGTGTCTGTTGACCATTTGTATTTCATCCTTTGAAAATTGCTTGTTCATATCCTTAGCCCATTTCTTAGCTGGATTGTTTGTTTCGTTGTTGTTGAGTTTCTTGAGCTCCTTATATATTCTGGACATTAATCATTTATCAGATCTGTAGTTTGCAAATATTTTCTTTGATTCTGTCGATTGCCTCTTTGTTGAGTGTTTCCTTTTCTATGCAGTAGCTTCTTAGCTTGATGTAATCCCACTTGTCTTTGCCTTTATTACCTGTGCTTCTGGGGTCTTTGAGCAATAACTTATGTTTTTTTTTTTTTTCTATAAGACATTTATTTATTTGAAAGGTAGAGTTACAGAGAGAGAGGTCTTCCAACTGCTGGTTCACTCCCCAAATAGCTGCAATGGCCAGGACTGTGCCAAGCTGAAGCCAGGAGCCAGAAGCCTCTTCCAGGTGTCTCACATGGGTGCACATTTTCCCAGGTGCATTAGCAGAGAGCTGGATTGGAAGTGGAGCATCTGGGACTTGAACTGATGCCCTTATGGGATGCCAGCACTGCTGTGCCACAGCGCTGGACCCTGAATCTACATTTTTTTAAGCATTTAGTAATAATGATATTAGCTGTGAAATATTGTTAGGATAATTAAGGAGCTTATATATATATGTATTAAGGGAGCTTGTGTGTATATGTATGTGTTAAGCTCTTAGTGTTGCTTTCAACGTATAGGATGCTGTTCTCAGTAAATGTTAGTTACTAATACTCATGTTACAGAACATGACAATTTGTAGTGGCTTTCACATATATCACTAGCAGAGAAGCTAATGTATGGTGTTCAGTGACTGATAATTAATGTTTGTTTATTCATCTCAACAGGAATCCAAATAACCCTATGTACGAGAAACAGAGATTACCACTGTCCAGTTAGATTCATAGCCCTGAATTGTCTGTCGTGTCACAAAAGAGAGTGCCCAGGTGTATTTCACCATCAGTCTTACAGGATGGAAGCTGTCAGTTTGTCCCTTGGTAAGTTCTACTGATAGAATTGCTATTTTTAGAATATTTGTTTTGTTTTCCCCTGCACAGTGTAGATTGCTGTGATCTGGGCCTGGTTCATTCCAGAGATGCCAGAGTTGGCCAGACAGGGTGGTTTTGGAAGTGAACCCCCATTGTCTACATACTTTGGTTATAGGTGCTACATAATTTCACTCGTGTTCTGTCCCCATGGGTAGATAAAGAGATGTTTGTCAAGTCTTAAACTTATTTACCTGTAAAATGAGACTGTTATGGGCAGTAGGTTCATTTCTAGCTCTCAGTGAGGCAGGCTGCAGTGGCATTGTATAGGAGTTCATATGTGTGTTTTTGTGAGTGTGCTGGCTTATATGGGGATTTTGAACTAGGATGGAATGAATTCCAGGTATATGAATGTGGGAATAATGGTAAGTTCTGGGTTCTCATGCCTTCTTTCTTTCCTACCAGGCCTCTTTTCTAGACTCCCAATCAGCCATCATGAAGAAAAGACAGAAGCAAAAAGAACGGTAGCTGACTGCCTGACAAATTGTTATCAGGTATGCAGAAAATGTCCTTCTGGGAAATGATGCACTTGTGTAAACTGGGTAGACATATTTCTTTCTAGGTATATTTGTATTCAGAGCTTCTTGTTTGTTTTTAGATACTTTTTAACAGATACATAGACATTCTACATGTTTACCAGGTACATGTGATATCTCAATACATATATATGTTATGTCCAATTAGGGAAAATATATCTGTCCTATACCTAACATACCTGTCTCACTTTTAAAATTTAATTATGATGAAAAAATTCAGACTCCTATCTTCTGGTTGTTTTCTTTTTAATAGAGAAATATACAGTACATTAACATTAACTCCATAACTTCTTATTCCTATCTTTAACCATAGCTTAGTACCCATCAATCAACTGTTCTTCCCTCCTCAGCCTCTGGTAACCACCGTTACACTTTTAGCTTCTAGAGTAGGGATCACCTTTCTTTCTTTTTTTTTTTTTTTTTTAGTACTCCACAAAGGAGTGACAGCCTGTGATACTTCTCTTTCTGTGCTGGACTTATTCCACTTTACATAATGAACTCTGGTTCCATTCATGTGGTTGCACATTACAAGATTTTTATGCATTTTTGTGACCGAGTAGTCTTCCATTGTTCTGTGTACCACATTTTCTTTATACATATCAGTGGATGGACACTTAGATTGTTTCTATTTCTTGACTGTTGTGAATAGTGCTGCAATAAACATGAGAGTGCAGATACCTCTTTGACATATTGATTTAATTTCTCTAGGTTGTCTGCCTAGTAGTGGGAGTGCTGGATCTTGTGGAAGTTCTATTTCTAGTTCTTTTGAGAACCCTTTAGACTGTTCTCCACAATGGCTATGCTAATTTACATTCCCACCAACATTGTGCAAGGGTTCACTTTTCTTCACATCCTTACTTATACTTGTTATCTTTTAGTCTTTTTGATAATGGCTAATTGAGCTGGAGTGAGATGATTCCTCATTGTGGTTTTAATTTGCATTTGCCTGATGATTAGTAATCTTGAGCATTATTTCATGGACCTGTTGGCCATTTGTATTTCTTCCTTTGAGAAATGTGTGCTTGGATCTGCTGGCTATTTTGTGATTGGATTATTTTGGACGTTTTTGCTGCTGAGTTTGGTTCCTTATATATTACGTTTATTGACTCTTGTCAGATATATAACTTGCAAGTATTTTCTCCTATTCTGTAAATTGTCTCTCCACTCTGTGATTGTTTCCTTTGCCGTGCAGAGGCTGCTTAGTTTGATGAAATCATATTTTATTTTTGCTTTTGTTTCTTATGCTTTTGGATTCTGGTCCTTGTCAATTCCAGTGTCCTGAAGCATTTTCATATCTTATATGTAGCTTCAAAATTTCATATCTTCTATGTAGGCTTTTAATCTGTTTTGAGTTGATTTTCATATAGTGAGAGATAGAGGTCTTGTTTCATTCTTCTGCATGTGGATATCCACTTTTCCCAGCCCCAATTACTGAAAAGATTATCTTTTTTTCCAGTGTGTTTTCTTAGCACCTTTGTCGAAGATCAGTTCACTGTAAATGCATGGATTTACTTTTAGTGCTCTATTCTGTTCCACTGGTCTTTGTGTCTGTCTTAATGCCAATACCATGGTGTTTTAATTACTGTAGCTTTGAATATTTTAAAACCAAGGAATGTAATGCCTCTTGTTTTGCTCTTTTAGCTCAAGGTTGCTTTAGCTATTTGGAGTCTTTTGTGGTTCTGTACAAATTTTAGTAGTGTTTTTTTCTAGTTCTGTGAAAAATACCACTGGTATTTTGCTGGAGATGACACTGAATCTGTAAATTGCTTTGAGTGGTATGGACATTTTAACAATCCGTGAACACCAAGATTCAATCCAGGTCTCCTATGTGGTGGCAGGGGCCTAACTATCTGAGCCATCATCCACTGCCTCCCAGGGTGTGCATTAGCAGGAAGCTGGATACAAACTGCAGTAGCCAGGATTCAAACCAGGCACTCTGTATGGGGTGCATGCATTCTAACCCATAACGTAACTGCTTCACCAAACACCTGCCCATACAGGATTTATCAATTCTGTCTTTTCAAAGAACCTGCTGTACATTTCATTGATCTTGTTTGTATTGTTTTTTAGTTTTAGTCATTTATTTGTGCTCTGAGTTTTACTACTTCTACTGTTTTTATGTTTGATTTGGTTCTGTTTTATTTCTTTAGTTACTTTTAGTTACTTTAGTTGGAATGATAAGTTGTTTATTTGAGATCTTTCTGCTTTTTTAATGTAAACATTGATCTATGTAAACTTCTCTCTCACTGTATCCATAGGTTTTGGTATGTTTTGCCATTTCTATTCATTTCAAGAAATTTTGGCCAGCGCTGCTGCTCAATAGGCTAATCCTCCACCTAGCGGTGCCCGCACACCGGGTTCTAGTCCAGGTCGGGGTGCCAGATTCTGTCCCGGTTGCCCCTCTTCCAGGCCAGCTCTCTGCTGTGGCCCGGGAAGGCAGTAGAGGATGGCCCAAGTGCTTGGGCCCTGCACCCCATGAGAGACCAGGATAAGCACCTGGCTGTTGCCTTCGGATCAGCGTGGTGCGCCGGCCTCAGTGCGCCAGCTGTGGTGGCCATTGGAGGGTGAACCAACGGCAAAAGGAAGATCTTTCTCTCTCTCTCTCTCACTATCCACTCTGCCTGTCAAAAAAAAAAAAAAAAGAAAAAGAAAATTTAAAATTTCATCCTCAATCCTTCCTTTATCCATTGGTTGATTAGGAGCAAGTAAGTAGGTTTTTTCTCAGTATAGGTTTCTAGTTTTATTGCATTGTGGTCAGCTACTCAATATCTCAATATGATTTCTGTTTTTTTTTTTTTTTTTTTTTTTTTTTAATTTGTTGAGCTTTGTGACATACTATAGGTTCTATCCTGGAGAATGTTAGAAGGAATGTTCTGATGTCTGTTAAGTCCATTTGATGCAAAATACAATTAAATTCTGCTGTTTCTTTGCTGATTTTTTTTTTTAGTGCTTTCTGAATTTTTCTGTATAGTTACTCTTAGTGGTGAGTTTTTACCTTCTGATATGTCGTCTTCTTCTTTTTTTTTTTTTTTAAAGATTATTTATTTGAAAGTCAGAGTTAACACAGAGAGAGAAGGAGAGGCAGAGAGAGAGAGGTCTTCTATCCACTGATTCACTGCCAAATTGGTCACAACAGCTGGAGCTGCACCAAACCAGGAGCCAGGAGGGTCTCCTACATGGATGCAGGGGCCCAAGGACTTATGGGCCATCTTCTACTTCTTTCCCAGGCCATAGCAAAGAGCTGGATCGCAAGTGGAGCAGCCAGGACTTGAACCAGCACTTATATGGGATGCTGGCACTGCAGGTGGTGGCTTTACCTGCTATGCCACAGTGCCAACCCCCTGATATATCTTCTTGTTAGCATATCTGTGTTTTAGTTTGAAGAACTTCTTTATCATTTCTTGTAAGACACATCTGGTGTTGATAAATTCGCTTAATGTTTTTCTCAGAATGTCTTTGTCCTTTATTTCTAAAGAAGGGCTTTGCTGAGTACAATATTTTTGCCTGGTAGGTTTTTTTTTCTTTTTCCTTCAGTACTGTTAAAGTCTCACCCCATTCCTTTCTGGCTGGTAAAGTTTGTTTTTCTTTTTCTTTTTAAGGTTTTATTATTTATTTGAGAGTTAATGTTACAGACAGAGAGAGGGATAGACATAGAACAAGGTCTTCATCCACTGGTTCACTCCCCAGATGGCCGCAACAGCTGGAGCTGGGCCAATGCCAATGCAAAGTCAGGAACTAGGAGCTTCTTCCGGGTCTCCCAGTGGGTACAGGGGCCCAAACACTTGGACCATCTTTTGCCGCTTTCCCAGGCCATGAGCAGAGAGCTGCATTGGAAGAGGAGCAGCCAGGACATGCACTGGCACCCATGTGGGCTGCCTGTACCATGACAGAGGTTTAGCCTACTATACCAAAATGCTGGCCTCTTCTTTATTAAAGGTTTTTATTTATTTATTTGAAAGGCAGAGTGACACACACACATACAGAGTGCTCCCACTTGCTGGTTCACTCCCCAAATCACTGCAATGGCCAGGTCTGGGCCAGGCTGAAGCCAGGAGCCTGGAACTCTGTCCAGGTCTCCCATGTGGATGGCAGGGGCCCAAGTACTTGGGTCATACACTGTTTCCCAGGCACATTAGCAGGGAACCATATTGGAAAAGAGCAGCTGGTACTTGAACTGATATTCCTATGTGCTACAGCGTTGTAGACAGTGGCTGTACCATACTCCTGGCCCCTGGCTGGTAGTTTCTGCTAAGAAATCTAATCAGGCAAATTGGAACCCTTGTTTTTGTCCCCTTGTAATTTTGAGAATCTTCTCTTTGTCCTTAACCTTGGAGAGCTTAATTATAGTATGCCTTGGGGTAGACCTGGTTGGCTTGGATCTGACTAGTGACCTTTGACCTTTCTGTACTTGGATAGTTAAAGTTTTCTCTAGGTTTGTAAGTTTTCTGTTATTATCTCACTGAATATGTTTTCTACCTCTCTGATATTCTCAAATCCCTCTTGAACCCCAATAATTCGGATATTTGCTATCTTCATGCTATCTCAAAGTGTTCTTATAAGCTTTGTTCGTTTCTCTTGATTCTTTTTCTTTGTGTATTTTCAAATATTATATCTTTGTGCTCATTGATTGTCATCTTTTGTTTGATCCATTGTCTGCACTTTGAAGGATTAGTTACAGTAATCTGACTTCACTTGTGGCTCTCCTTCCAGAAAAATCCAAGCAGCCTGTTAGCTGAGCCTATGGACACTTTTACTGTTTCAGCACTAGATGGTGCCCTAAGCTGACGTTTGTTTGCTAGAGGTCCACACTATTGATGTTTTCAGTTTTGGTCTTCAAGTTCAGATTTGTTTCAAATCTGTAGTTGTTATGTTATTCAGAATGAACTTGAGGAAGACTTTAAAAGCTGTATAGTCTTCTCCTACAGCAGGTGGGAAACATATGGCCTGTGGGCTGTAGAAGGCTTCTGAAGTCATTTGGTCTGGGCTTGCCAAGGCAACCATAGGTGGGACTCAAAATTAAGTAAATCTACAAGAGGCTAATTTTTAAGTTGATAAGTTTGTATAGCCCATGATTGATGTTATAAATATTCAGATGACCCCTGGCAGAAAAAAGTTTCCCCACCCCTGCCCTGCAGGTCTCTTCCTTGGCTTGGATAGACCCAGACACCTAGTCCTGTGACCATCAACACTGTGGTGCTAGATCACACCCAGAGCACACAGCCTACTGAGACCGGTGCAGCCCACCATTCTGTGGTCTGTTGCTGAGGCAGACTGGCTTGCCCAGTGCCACTCCTGCCAACCACTGGTGATGGCTAGTGTATAAGACTGTGATAAACTAGGGCTGCAGCACTCCACTTGGCACTGAAGCAGGTCCAGAGGCCCTGTTGACAAACACTGACTGTTGGGTCTTAGCAGCCTGGCACTGAGTGCCAAGCAGTCCTGTGGTTCCTTGCTGTCTGCCCCAGGTTGGAGGAGAGGTGATCAAGGCGGCCTGTAGCTGCACATGCGGCACTAGTTGCATCACTCCTGGGTCTCACAGTCCACTGGGCCATACAGAGTCTCAGAGGTGCACTCCAGGTCCAGTTGAGGCTGTGGTGATCCACACGTGAAAATGTTCTACGAGAGGACAGTTCTCCTCCTGATAGTGGGGCAAGTCTGGAGGCTCTGTCTCTGAGTACTGGCCTAGTGGGTTTTATCAGATACAGTGGACTTAGATCTGAGTTCTAAGGTAAGGTCCTAAGCTCTCTTTCCTACCCTATTCCATAGCAACTGAAGTCTTGCCATGCCTTCTGCCAGAGATTGGGGGAGGACTGATGGAGGCAGTTCCTGGCCATGTGACTATGGAAAATCCAAATACTAAGTCTATAGGTATTAGCCTCAGAGCAGGAGCTATGGGGCTTTTTCCGACTCTGAGCTTTATCATGATGGGCCTGGCACTGAGATTCTAAGGGTAAGGTAAATGACTAAGGACTGGACTTAATTCCTTCTTCCTCCCCAAAGTAGGAGGTATCTTCTTCCATGCTGTGCCATGTGGTACTAGGGGATTACACTGGCAGCTCTTCCCTCCCTTCTGTTTTCATCATGACTTTTATTATTTTACTAAATCCAGGCACTGTGGTCTCTCACCTGGGTTCTGTAGCTCTTGTGAGGGTGATGTGGTGCTTGAATAGTTGTTCAAGTTGGTATCTGTGGGGAGATGTTCATTGTCAACTTACTTAGCTGCCATCTTGCTCAACTTCCTCCAGAACTTTTTTTAAAAGGTAAGTAAAACCTCACTGAAGGGACTGCATCCATAGTTGAATTTCTCCAGGGTGTGGAGCCTCTCATATTGTTGAAGGATGACCCTGAAAATCACCCCAGTATTTTAAGTAATTATGAAATAATCTTGACCCTCATGATGCCAAGTACATGTTTCCTATTTTACTGAGTGCTCTGACACATAAAGTTTACTAAAGCCATCAAAGCCATATATGAATGGGTGCAGATAGAGAAAGGAGTCTGTAGGACCACTGAACCTGGAGTAGACAGCAGGAGGCCTAAAATTATTGGGTCCCATGTCCTCATTCTCCAGTGAACATTGGTTGAGATGTTATCAGACTGAAGCCCACATCTATGTCATGGTGTAGGACCTGGTGACCTTTGATGATGTGGCTGTGAACTTCACCCAGGAGGAATGGAATTCACTGAACTCAACTCAGAGAGACCTATACAGAGAGGTGATGCTGGAGAACTATGAGAACTTGGCTGCAGTAGGTAAGGCTGTCGTCATTCCTGGTAGCCTTCTACGAAATGGATATGTGAAGGCACTAGAAGCAGTTCATAGAAAAATGGAATTTAACAATAACCTTATTTGGATTAAAAAGTTGAAATCCCTGCTTATTTTTTTCATAATATGCATTTTGCAGGAACCTCTTGAAGACTCCTGTATGCATGAATTTCATATTTTTTTTGCATTGAAATTTGTTTTAATTCCATTTTCTGTTAACATTTTGAAGTAATCTTGTATGTTATATTCTTACTGTGCCCCAGTATCATGATGTCATTTATCACTGGAGTGATAAATAACAGAGGTAGAGTCCTATACTAACATGTTTTAATCTCCTCTGGTAGTTTTCAAGATGTCATCCTAACATCAGTAACATCACTGTTACTCTTCAAAATGTCCGTTTTCAGTCTCTGCCCTGACATCCTGAATCAGAAACTCCTCTTTTGCGGCCCTATGTTTTAGTGATTCCTCCACATGATTCTGATACACTAAGAATCACTGGCATAGTTATTTTTTCTAAATGTGTTTCACTTAACTTTCTATTTAATTAAAATTTTAGCACTTTTTAGTCATGTAAATATACATCAGCTTGGGTTTCAAGGATCGGAGATCAGTGTCCTCAAGACACAGAAACGGGATGTTTGTATCCTGATCTCTTTAGCCTTCATTTTGCTGCTTCCATTAGAACTGAAATTTCTTTTAAATAATTTTCATTTTATTGAAAAACAGAGATCTTCTGTCTGCTGCTCCCCAGATGCCTACAACAGCCAGAGCTATGCCAGGCTGAAGCCAGGAGCCCAGAACTTGATTTAGTTCTTCCATGTGGGTGGCAGAGATCCACATTCTTGCGTCATCACCTGTTACTTCCCAGGGTGCACGTTAGCAGGAAGCTGGAATTGAAAGTGGAACCGGGACTCAAACCAGGCACTCTGATATGGGATTCCAGTTGGCATCTTTAACTACTGGGCCAAGCATTCACCATGATGTCTGAATCATGGTATGGTTTATCATTTCTTGCTTGAGCCTCTTCTATTAATGTATCTTTTTTTTTTTAAGATTTATTTTATTTATTTGAAAGAGTTACAGAGAGAGGTAGAGACAGAGAGAGAGAGAGAGAGAGAGAGAGAGAGAGAGAGAGAGAGAGAGAGGTCTCCCATCTGCTGGTTCACTCCCCAATTGGCTGCAACAGCCGGAGCTGCACCCATCCAAAGCCAGGAGCCAGGAGCTTCTTCTGGATCTTCCATGTGGGTGCAGGGGCCCATGCTATCCCAGGCCACAGCAGAGAGTGGATCGGAAGAGGAGCAGCCAGGACTAGAACCAGCGCCCATATGGGATACTGGTGCTTCAGGCCAGGGCTTTAACCTGCTGCACCATAGCACCGGCCCCTATTAATGTATCTTTACTTGTATACAGGATGTCAGCTTATTAAACCCAGCGTGATCTCTTGTTTGGAGGAAGAAAAAGAGTTGAGGACAGTGGAGAGAGCTGTTCTTCAAGGTTAGTATTTGTAAATAATATCCCTCATCAATTAAAAGTTCAGTATGCTTGAATTTTAATGGGGAAGCTTTTAAAAATATTCTGTCAGAATACTCCTCCTACTCTTCCTCCTCCCTTCCTCCCCTCTCCTTTTCCCCTTCCTTCCCTTTTCCTTTCCTTCTTTCTCCCTTCCTTTCTCTTTCTCTTTCTCTCCCTCTTCCTTTCCCTCTCCCCCTCCCCTTCCCTCTCCTCTTCTTTCCTTCTCTTCCCCTTTTCCTTCTTTTAATAGATTAGACTTTCTCACTTATCTAAAGTGCAAATATAGGGATTTGGGCTAGAGGTAGGAAGATCTCTGCTGTCTCTCATCAGTTCCTTTTGTCTTAATATCTGCCCTTCCTTGAGTTTGTGGTTTTTGTGGATGATCTCAGTTGAGATTTCCCCTTCATTACTTTTCTGATAATACTGTTTCTGTTAACTGGGACATTTTCATTTTCATAATAGATTATCAATAAATTACTAAATTTTGAATGCAGATTCTCATGATTGCCAAATTTTAAACATAGCAACACTGCTCTGATCTATTTTTCTTTGCTTCTAAGCATGTTTAAAATGAAAACAAATACAAATGAACTGTATCATTTTTAACTTATTTAATCTACTATTTTGTTGTGTAAATCATTACATATGTTTTTTTATTTGACTTCAGAATGGAACATACACCTTAACAACAAAGGACCAGCACTTTGGCAAGATATTTTTTGGTCACATACTCCAAATGGGATACAAGTGGTAAGATATACAGCAGATATGCCTTATTTTCCAGAGTGATTGGAAATTTCATGATAGAAATCAGCACAAATGATAAATTTTTGAGTGAAGCAGCATTCACTCATAAGGGAGTCATGCATCTGGAACGATGCTCTGAACCTGGCATGGAGCTTGGTGCTTCAGAGTTCCCCTCAGGACACATTCCCCCAGCTATAACCTGACATTTGGTTTTTAAAGCAATTTCATGAAAGTCTACAGGAATCTTTTCCAAAATTAGTGCAGATGTCACTAATTTCTTTCAAAGTCAAAGAAATCCAGAGGGTAAGAACCATGTGCATTTAATGAAAATAATAGAAATCATCATCATCATTATCATATTTGTTTTCATTATGAGTAAAATTTTTAATAAGTTTGAAAAATTTTTTAAAATCACCATTTATTTCTGTCAACAGGAAGAAAGTCAAAATGGAGTGGAGCTCTATGAATGTAAGTCAAATAGTGAAGTGTTCAAAGAACACCCAGGCCTTCTGACACACATGAGTGCTCAAAATAGAGGGAACACAGGTACATATGATCAGTATGGAAAAGTCATTTCAACTCTGCACAAGGAACCTGGAGAGAACCTTCCTGTGTTCAGACAGTATGGGAAAGACTTAAGTGTAACCCCAAATACTTACCAGACAGCAAGCTTGCGAGACAAATCCTTTGAATGCAGTGACTATGGACAAGCCTTTATTGATCAGTCATACCTTCAGGCACATGGGAGAACTCAAAATGGTGAAAAACTCTGTGAATGGAAGCAGTGTGGTAGCACTTTGACTTCCTCCGTAAGTCGTCCGGATATACATGTTCAAACACCCACAGGAAAAAAATCCTACGAATGTAAGGAATGTGGAAAAAGTTTCAGATATTCTGCCAACCTTAATATTCATATGCGAACCCATACTGGCGAGAAACCTTATCAGTGTAAGGAATGTGGGAAAGCCTTCTCTAGGTTTTATCCATTAACTCAACATTTAAAAACTCACACTGGAGAGAAGCCGTTTGAATGTAAGGTATGTGGAAAATGCTTTAGAAATTCCTCCTGCCTCAATGATCACTTTCGAGTTCACACTGGACTAAAACCATATAAATGTAAGGACTGTGGCAAAGCTTTCACTGGGCGCTCTGGCCTTAGTAAACACTTACCAACTCATACTGGAGAGAAGCCTTATGAATGTAAGGAATGTGGGAAAGCCTTCACTACGTCCTCAGGCCTTATCAAGCATACACAAACTCACACAGGCGAGAGACCCTTTGAATGTTACCAGTGTGGGAAAGCTTTTGCTTCTTCGTCATCTCTCATTACACATTTGAGAATTCACACTGGAGAGAAGCCCTTTGAGTGTAAAATATGCGGGAAAGCGTTTTCATGTTCTTCTTATCTTCGTATACACATGCGAACTCACACTGGAGAGAGACCCTATGTGTGTAAGGAATGTGGGAGAGCCTTCACGGAGCGCACATGCCTTACCAAGCATTTGCGAACACACACTGGGGAGAACCCCTTTGAATGTAGCATATGTGGGAAAGCATTTGCATGTTCTTCCTACCTTCAGAATCACATGCGAACTCACACCGGAGAGAAACCTTATATATGTAAGGAATGTGGGAAAGCCTTCACTGTTTCCTCGCATCTCAGTAAACATACAAGAATTCATACTGGAGAGAAACCTCACAAGTGTAAGGAATGTGGGAAGGCCTTCACTGTGCGCTCAGGCCTTACTAAACATATGCGAACTCACACTGGGGAGAAGCCCTATGATTGCAAGGAGTGTGGGAAAGCCTTCACTACGTCCTCAGGCCTTATTGAACATATAAGAATTCACACAGGAGAGAAACCCTTCGAATGTTACCAGTGTGGGAAAGCCTTTGCTTCTTCCTCCTATCTTATCGCACATTTGAGAATTCACACGGGAGAGAAGCCCTTCGAGTGTAATATGTGTGGGAAAGCGTTCACATGTTCCTCCTACCTTCAGAATCACATGCGAACTCATACTGGAGAGAAACCGTATGTTTGTAAGGAATGTGGGAGAGCCTTCACTGTTTACTCACACCTAAGTAAACATGTAAGAATTCACAGTGGAGAGAAATCCCAGAAATGTAAGGAATGTGGGGAAACTTTCAGGAGTTCTTCTCATCTTACGGAACATACACAAACACACTGGAGGGAAAACCTTTGGAGGTAAGGAATGAAGAAACTTTTAGGAAGTCCTCAGACCTTAGCACATTCAAGTTTGCACTGATAAGAGATGTCCCTCTTCAAAGACCTGAACGAACGAACTCTGACGATGTCGCGTGAATTTTAGGAATATGGGAGAGCTGTTGGAATCTGCTCACATCCAGTGTAAGGGATGCATCCTGAAGCCATACAGTGTCTAAAACATGGAAAGCCTTCACAGTCCTTGGGTTCTTACTAAACGTGTGAGATCTTGTAACGGAGAGAAACCCTAATTATGTAAGATGAGGAAAAGTTGTAGTCTTAAATATTTTCATGTTCACTTGGGATCTCACGGTAGAGAAAGATTTCATGAAAGTAAGAAATGTTGGAATATCACCATAAAATTACATTGTCCCTCAGCCTTTAATAAACATAAGGCTATTCGTATTTATTGAGAAACTGCATGTATGGGATGTGAAAATTGCTTCCCTCTTTTCTAAAATGTATGGCTTTTTTGGTTTTATGGATTTTTTTGAACATTTGAAGTTTGAATATTTGAAGAATATTTAAATATTTGTGTATTTTTAAACTTCTCAGTCCTATCTGATTACTACTACAGTCTTAATTTTTCTCTCATCTTTATTGAGGTATGATTGACAACTAAATTTATATTTAAGGTGTACATCCTGGTGGTGATACATGTATGCATTGTGAAATGATTACTCTAGTGAAGCAGATTAAAATACTTCTTACCTGACATAATGACCTTTTATTTTGGTGTTTTGGAAAATTTTCTTATGTCTTAGAAGATTTTAACTATATAGTATTTTATTAAAGTCATCATGCTGTATAGGTCTCAACTTACTCATCTTTCACTGAAAGTTTCATCAGTATCTCTGTTTTCCCCATCCCACAATCCCTGGAAACCACTATTCTGTTCTGTGCTTCTATGAATTTGAGATTTTTAGATACCACATATTAAGTGTGGCCATACACTATTTGTTTTGTTTTTTTTTTTTGTCTGGCTTCACATAGCATAATACATCCAGGATCAACCCTGTTGTGACAAATGGCAGAAATTTCTTCTATATTTAAGGCTTAATATTTTATTATACACACACACGCGCGCACACGCGCACACACACACACACACACCATGTTTTCTTTATTCTGTCAAGAGACACTTAGGTTCTACTGTTACCTGAATGGTATTAGTATTGCTCCTTTGGATATAAGGGCACATATATCTAGTCATTTTATTCCTTGGATATATACACAGAATTGTGTCTGCTGGGTCACATGGTTCTATTCTTTGAAGGATTTATTTATTTAATGTATTTATTTTATTTGAGAGGTAGAGTTATAGACAGAGAAGGAGAGACAGAGAAAAAGGTCTTCGATGTACTGGTTCACCCCTCAAATGGCTGCAATGGCCAGAGTTGGGCCAATCTGAAGCCAGGAGCTTCTTCCAGGTCTCCCACGTGGGCGCAGGTGTCCAAGTACTTGGACCATTTTCTGCTGCTTTCCCAGGCCATAGTAGAGAGCTGGATCAGAAAAGGAGCAGCCAGGACTGGAACCGGCACCCATAAGGGATGCTGGCACTGCAGGTAGCAGTTTCAACCATTATGCCATGGCACCAACCCCCGTTGTTTATTTTTAATTTATTAGGATCCTTTATACTCATTTCCTGATGACTCTGCCCATCTTCATTCCCGCCAGCAGCGTGCAAGCTAACACTTGATTATCTTTTGATGTTTTTGATAAGAGCCATGCAAATGTGATGTGATCGTTTTGATTTTCATTTCCTTGATGACAGTGATTTTGAGCATCTACAAATACCTGCTGACCATTTGTATATCTTCTTTGGAAAAATATATATCCAGGTGTTTTTCCCCTTTTAAAATTATTATTTTTGCTATTGGGCTATATGAATTCTTTATATGTTGGATGTTTATCCATAATTGGGTATGTAGTTAAAAATATTTTCTTCTTTTCCATACATTCCTTTTCCAATTTATTGTTTCCTTCACTATCAAAAAAAGTTTTTAGTTTGATATAGTCCTGTTTGTTCTTGCTTACATTGAATTCTTTCAGTGTCAACTCCAAAAATAATGTTATCAAGACCATTGTCAACATACTTTTTCACTGTTTTCTTTTAGGATTTTTATGGTTTTAAAGCCTTAGGTTTTCATCTTTAACCCATTTTGAATTGAGCTTTGTGTATGGTGTGAGGTAGTGATCCAATTGCATTGTTTGAATGTATCTGTCTAGTTTTTTCAATATAATTTATTGAAGAGTATCTTTTACACATTGTGTATTCTTGGCACATCTGTCAAAATTTTGTTAACAAATATGCATGGTTTTACATGTGGGCTTTCTGATGTGTTCCATTGGTGTGTCTATCTGGTTTTGTGCCAGTATAATATTTATTTGATTGAAATCAGGATGTGTAACACTTACAATGTGTTTTGCTCAGAATTGTTTTGCCTTTTCTGAGTCTTTTGTGGTTCCATATGCATTTTAGAAGTTTCATAAATAATGTAACAAATGCCATTGATATCTTGAAAGGGATGGCAGTAAGTAGGTTGCTTTGGGTGGTATGGGCATTTTCTCAATATTATTTCATCAATCAAATAGGATAGCATCCCTTGTAATAGTTTCTTATTTAATTTCTTTTTCTGACTTTACCTTCAGTTTATCAATCTTTCATTTCCCCGGTTAAATTTATTCCTAACTATTATATCATTTTTATTCTATTATAAATGGAATGTTTCCCTAATTTTTCACTGCTAGTGTATAGAAACACTACTGATTTTTGTATGTTGACTTGGACAGTTCCCTGGATTCATCTGTTCCTGTTTTTAAATGGATCATTACAGTTTCTATATTCAAGACCATGTCATCTGCAAAAAAAAAAAAAAAATCCACTTTATTTCTTTCTCTTTTGGATGCCTTTTATTTCTTCTTGCTTAGTTGCTTTGGGTAGGACTTGCATGGTGAATAGAAGTGACAAGGATTGGTATTCTTGTCTTGCTCTTGTTAAAGAAAAAACTATAGGTTATCCTTGTTCATTATGCTGTTGGCTGTGGTCTTGTCATATATGGCCATTATTGTGTTATAATACATTCGTTCTATGCATAATATGTTAGGAGCTGGTATCATGAAAGGATGTTGAATTTTGTTGAATGCTTCTTCTGCATTTTTTACCAATGTAATTTTCTCTTCATTTTGTTAATGTGTGTGATATTTATTGATTTGCTTATGTTGAACCATCTTTGCATCCCAGATATAGATCCCACTTGTGTGTGATACTTTTAATTAATATAAATGTGAATGGGCTAAATTTGCCCATCAACATAGAATGGCTGATTGCCTTTAGAAGAAATGACACATTTGTATGCAGCCTATGAGAGATTTCATCTTTAGGGATGTAAGTAGACTGAAAAGAAGGGATGGAAAAGATGTTTCTTATAAATGAAAACCAAAGAGAATAGGAATACCTATATATGTTTCAGACAAAGGACATGTTTAAGTCAAGAACTATACTAAGAGAAAAGGATATCATGATGAAAAAAATGGTAGCTTCATCAAGAAGAAATAATTGCTGGACATATGTATGCACCTAGTAGCAAAGCACCTGAGTATAGAAGGCAAAAATCAACAGCTCTGAATCAAGAAATAGATAGCTATATAACAATAGTATGGGTCTTCAATATCCCACTTTCAACAGTGGATAGATCATGTAGGCTGAAAATAAAACACTGGACCTGAATAACAGCTTATACCAAATGGACCTTACAGATCTATACAGAACATTCCATTTAAAAGCAACAGAATATACATTCTATTCTATAGCACAGAGAACACTCCAGGATAGATGATATGTAAGACATTATACAAGTTTCACTTTTTCTCACTTGTCCTTTATCTGGACCAGGATTCAGTTCATAATCTCAAGTCCCATTAACTTTGATATTGTGAACATCCACACTACCAATAATTAATGATTGAAAATCAATATATATGTAATTACTGATGCTTGTATTAAATTCAGTGGTCTAATTTTAATGCTTTCCATTTTTGTCATTTTTTTAATGGGTCATGTTTTTCCTCATTAAATTCTTAAAGTCTGGGACTTACGTACTTCATTACTTTAAGACTTTTCTGCTTTAAAAGTCTTAATACCTTTGCTTTATCATAAAATGTACATTTTGAACACAGTCATTTCTGTGACCAAGATCCTGGCAGACACATTAGCTGAGGGACTTACAGACTGGTGTGAAATCACACAAGTTTAAACTACAGGCCCATAGACCGGTAGACACAGCCTCTAGCAACCACCTGGTAAACAGGTACAACAATGATGAATAGGACTGATTCCTGGACCCAGATGTTGAAAATGGTCCAGGGACACATTGTGACAGATAAAAAATCATTCCACATTCTTTGCAGCTCTTCTCATTGAGGTGTAGCCCATATCTCTCCCTTTATTTCTTGATCAGTCTTTTGACTGGGAGGTGTGTTCAGCCTGGTGGCTAAGATGCTGATTAAGATGTCCTGGAAGGCAGTGGTGGTGTCTTGAATAAGTTATTGGGTTTCTACCACTCATGAGGGGGACCTGGATTCACCCTGAGCTATTGTGGGCATCTGAGGCGTGTGCCAGTGGTAGGGAACTCTCAGTCACTTTGCCTAATAAATGAAAGTTACACGTAAACATATGTGTTTTGGAAAACCATTTGACATTGCTACTGAGTTTGAACATAGGTATTCCTTGTTCTACAAAATATGTAGACATCAAGATAAAAGTCCTAGATTGCCCTGAGCTGATTTGAAATACCATTTGGGGAAAAAGCCTGAATTTCCCTGAGCTGAAAAGATAAATGCCCTTCTATAAAGAAAAATGATAGTTTGCTGGTTGTAGTAGCTTCCATTCTTGGCACAAAGTAAATTAACACATATATATATTACCTCACAGTTTCCATGGGCTGGAGTTGTAAGTATGGTTTAGCCTGAGTTATGCTCGGGATCTCCTAAGATGGAAGTCTGTGTTGTCCACTATTCATGCTAATCTGGAGGCTACAATGTTTTAGGGTACGCTTGCAATCTCCATCAGATAGGTGGACGAGCTTATTTCCTGTGGCTGTGGAACACTTGGAAGTTTCTTTTGTTCCAGAGAGCAAAAAGATAGTATATGCTGCTGTTAGCCTTTGACCCTCTCTGAAGAGACTTGTGTAATTTGTTCAGGTGAATTTGTTTACAGAGCTCTCCAGACTATAAATAAACCCAGTGATTTTTCTGGAGATTGCCTTGCTTAAATAACATACAGTCTGGGCCGGCGCCGCGGCTCACTAGGCTAATCCTCCGCCTAGCGGCGCTGGCACACCGGGTTCTAGTCCCGGTCGGGGCGCCGGATTCTGTCCCGGTTGCCCCTCTTCCAGGCCAGCCCTCTGCTGTGGCCAGGGAGTGCAGTGGAGGATGGCCCAGGTGCTTGGGCCCTGCACCCCATGGGAGACCAGGAAAAGCACCTGGCTCCTGGCTCCTGCCATCGGATCAGCGCGGTGCGCCGGCCGCAGCGCGCTGGCCGCGGCAGCCATTGGAGGGTGAACCAACGGCAAAAGGAAGACCTTTCTCTCTGTCTCTCTCTCTCTCTCACTGTCCACTCTGCCTGTCAAAAAAAAAAAAAAAAAAAAAAAAAATATATATATATATATAGTCTGAATGGGGACTGGAATTTGCTCTGCCTGCTTTCTTGCCCATAATGTAACAACTACAAGACTCTCATCCTTTGACCTTTGAAATACTTTTTTGGCTAGAAGGAAGTTGTTTGTCTTGCCAACATTGAAAGGGAAGAGAGTCTTGTGCTGCAGCTCAATAGGCTAATCCTCCGCCTGCGGCGCCAGCACACTGGGTTCTAATCCCGGTCGGGGCACCAGATTCTGTCCCGGTTGATCCTCTTCCAGGCCAGCTCTCTGCTGTGGCCCGGGAGTGCAGTGGAGAATGGCCCAGGTCCTTGGGCACTGCACCCGCATGGGAGACCAGGAGAAGCACCTGGCTCCTGGCATCGGATCAGCGTGATGGGCTGGCTGCAACGCGCCAGCCGCAGCGGCCATTGGGAGGTGAACCACCGGTAAAAATGGAAGGGATTATGCAAAGACATAGCAGAGGGCAGGATTTAAAGGACCATTTCAGGATTCTGCCTAGTAAACGGGTACACTCAGTAGCATGAGTGAGGGAACTGGAAAGATCATATGTGAAAGAATGGATACTATATTGCCGGCCAACTATATTGTCTTAAAAATGGACATGCACACATAGCAAAATTGGTTCCAGTTATGGGGAAGATGGAATGAGCATAATTATATTATCATGCCAAATACAGGTATAAAATATGGAAATGATGCATGGTGCAGCCATTTGAGAAATCTGTAAAGGAAATGCTAGCAATTGGATGATAAAACATCAGATTTCAAATTACTGGCAATCAAATCCTAACTTTACCAGTTTTCTCTCCTCTGGTGTTGTCCAGTCTATGCTCAACACAGTTAAAACTCCCAAGGAAAATGTAAGCACATGCTTAGCTCAAGAAGCAGCTTTATGGTTCTGGCACAATGAGACTGGGGTTTCCCAGTGCTCAGTGAACTAGAGATAAATGCCAGTTGTTCCCACCATTCCTTTGCTCCCAGCCTCCAAGTCATCCTTTGATGGCAGTGAAACCGCACAAACCTTGAGAACGAAGTAAGACATAGATAAATCTTCTACATGGTCAAATGGAATGGACGCTAAAAGTACTACAGTGTTGAGTTCATTTTTCAATAAACTCACATTGAAACAACTTATAGTACTGATTAAAACTTGCAAGCTGAGCCCAGTTAGGTAACTGCCTGGTTATAAAATATCTTTATTCTCTGAAGGATTGAAGAACCAGAGAACCATAGCATATTACTTAAAATATCTAGTATATAATCCTAAATTTTCCAGCGTAGTATCAGAGTCTCAGGGGCCTGTATGACAATGCCAAAATGCTAGCATTCACGACATTAGTATCCTTTAAGAAGAGAAAGTGATGCAGCAAAAAATTTTGAAACATGAGAAACTTCTCAAATGTAATGAAAGATAAATCTTCAAAAAGTTCAGTGTCCTAAAATATAACTCCAAAGAAAGACATAAACTGCTGAAAGCTGAAGACAGTCTTGAAAGGAGACTGAGAATAATAACACATTACTTAAATATTTCAATTCACAAAAATCACAAAAGCCAAAGCAAATTCAATAAGAGCTGAGAGAAAAGGAATAGTCGATGCTTTTTGGCTTGCTAAATGAAATATATTCCAAAACTTTATTTCTACCTTACACTAAGAGTTCAACAAATAGTATGACCAAAACAAAACAAAAAAACCACTGTTCCTCAACAGTAGAGACAAGGGCTGTAAACAGTCATCAAATCTCAAAATGTCCATT